GAAGAAGGGACGACAGCGAATGAGTGGCTGGATGGAGTCACCAAAGCAGTCAGCGTGAGCTTAAATGGACTCCAGAGGATGGGAGAGGACAGGAAGGCCTGGAGGAACATTGTCCATGGGGTCACGATGGGTCGGACACGACTCCGCAACTAACAACAACAAATTGAGGGAAGTTACCTCAAGAGTAAAAGGAAGTCCTTGTAGACTGTTCATTATGAGAACTGCATCACACTCTGGCTAACTAGGTCACCAGTACTTCCTCTGGTTGTTTCTCATTAGATTCCTTCCTTTCCAGAGCAATTCCAAATAATGGCAGACTTGTGGATTCTTGTGGATCCCTAGGTCTCAGCTAAGCTACATCACTTACCTGATATTGATGAAGCTGGCAGTAGATAAGTGAACACGTTCAGCCAGCGTCTCAAGGAGATGAATGCCAACAGCAAGACTTAATGGCCTGCAGGTGGTAGAAATGCAGTAGGTCAAGACTTAATGGCACAGCATGTAGAGAAGAGTTAATAAACAGGAGATAAAAAATATCTTTAAGTAATTAATTTTAAGATGTGTGAACTTCAACTCCCAAAATTCCTCAGCCAGCCATGCCAGCTGGGAAATCCTGGAAGTGAAGTCTACATATCTTAAATTTGCCATGGTTGGGAATCCTTGCTTTGGATGTTCCATCTTGGATATTAACCATCACCTGGCACAAACTTTACATAGTCATAGATCTTCTGCTGGTAAAAGTACCTCAACCATGTTAGCCATTTTGGGGGGTTCATATCTGATTTATCCAAGTACCACAATAAACAAAAGAAAAATCTGTATAGCTTGTGAATCAAACATAACTGGGTCACCCATTAACCTCTACAACGTTCAATTCTATCATAGCACTTCCCTGTAGGTAGAGAGTAAGGAAGATAATCTTGCAGGAATTGTTACTGAAACGAGAGAGGCTGAAACACTGTTTTAAATCCAGAAAAATGAGACAACATTTGGAAGTGGCTGAGACAAAGACCTCCCTAATTCACTGAAGGGATGGAGGTACAGTACAATCAGACTTCCAAGGGTCTGATATCATAGCCCATCTCAGTCAAAGTAGATTTATCCATCATGTGGATTTGATTTTGTAGCCCAGCCTACTTGGTGGGGCTAACATCCTGGCTTCCAAGACCCCCTATTCCACCTTATTTGCTTGACTTCTCCCAACTATATTAATTATATATATTCAGCATCACAATAATTGCATTCAGGTATCACACTGAGCCAGGCTTTATTTTAACCATTATTTGTTAGACAAGCTACAAATGATCAGAGAAAGTTTTTTTTTAGTAATTTTAATTAATCAAGGCATGCTCATCCAGTTCCTACATTTGCTTTCTCTTCTTTTTCAAACAGTCTTTTTGAGTATCTTTTTGAAATAGGTAAAGGTTTGAGTGGAACTAAAACGCTAGCCAAGAATAAACCAGAAAACCCAACAAAGATTAATAGGTTATATTAATTCACAGTTGCAATTAAACCCAATATGCAACCAGACTTTGATATTGCAGAAAACTACAAACCATAATTTATTCATTGATTCTATTTTCCACGCCATACCAAATGAAAAATAAACCAACCGTAGTATGGCTAAACATGGTGCATGTATCCAATCATTGTGCAGAGGCAAATGAGAATAATGAATGTAAGTATCACCCTATTATCTGCTGGAACTTGTCAATGGGCAGCTCAGGTTTCTCCAACCTCTCCCACTCTAGATACATTCATTTTTAATTAGGCCCAGACAGCCTAGGCTAGCAGCCAGCCTAGCCTAGCATGGCTTTGGGGTGATGTAGGATGCACTTGTCTGATCCGAATCCAAGTCATACATGTATGAGTCAAATGCATCCACACCTTGAATAAACCAAGCCATACAGATAGTCCTCAACTTATGACCATAATGGAGCTTGCCCATTGTGATTGTAAGTCATTATCGCAGTTGTAGAGGTGGTCAATCATATGATCAATCCAGTTTTTATGACCTTTTTTGGCATAGTCGTCCTGAAAAAACCACAAGTAAATGCCAGTTTGCCCGCAAAAATGCCACAAAACATGGTGACGTGATTGCGGGATGCGGCAAATGGCTGTGAATGCAGGCCAGATGCCGAGAGCTCAAAATACAGTCACATGGCCATGGGGAGGGGAGGGGGAGATAGCTGTTGGAATTTCAGACCTTGGTAATCTGTAGTAACTCTGAATGGTGGCTAAGTGGTAGGTCATATGTTGAGGACCCACTGGTACAACTTGCTTCTCTGGATTCACCCATTTGTTTTGCCCCTCCCTCATTTCCCTGGACACACTCTTTCTCTCACTTCTGGTCTGTGACGACGTAGCCATATTCCTCTGCCGCCAGTGGTGTCTCTGGCTGTTCCACATCCTTACTGAGTACACCTACTACCATGCGACTCTTCTTCATCATTGCCATCTGCTCCTCAGGGCTGCTGGTATCACTTTCTGCGGGGCTTAAGGGCTTGTGTGAGTCTGGGGGAGATGTTGTCATTGACATAGGGGCCCCAGTTGAGCCAAATGTCTCCCCATGTGCCTGAATTTGCCCCTCTGTGGGAATGACACTGACAGAGTCTTCTTGAGATGGGACTGGCTCCGGCTCTTCCCCATGTTGCATTTCTGCTTCTGTCACCTAAATGAAGACGGAAAGGTCACTCATCGGCACTCAACACTTTAACCAACAACCCACAGCTATCTTGATAACTCCTGTTTGTTACTACAGCCAGCCGTGGAAATTCCCTTCTCAAACTCTGCCTCCGGTTGCTGGTTCCATCCTCAAGTTTGAATTTGTAACAATCTGTTTTCTTCCTCTTCACAAGAGCCACCTATGTTAGAATTGGCTGGGCATGGTTGGTCTCTGAGGGTGTGGGCAAACTATAGTCTAAACGCGGCCCCAGTAAATCTCTTGGGTCCCTCCAAGTGGCCTTTTGGGGGGGGGGGGCTTATTTCAGGTGGAGAGAATGAATAGAGGATTTAGGAAAATGTTTAGATCACAAATATCAGTTGATCTCTTTATACTCTTGTTAGGAATATAATTCTAACAGTTGGGTTGGCAATATATAAATCATATAGCAAAGCTATACCTGTTTCTTTA